GCACAATTAAAATTAGTTGGAGCGCGTTACCACTGTCTGAGGCTAGAATCTCCGAGACTCGGTTGGCGACAAAATTCTTGTAATTCTTGGACTAATCCTTTATCCAGAATATGACTTCCTTGTTGGCTGTCCATAGATAGATAGATAGATAGATAGATAGATAGATAGATAGATGGTTTGTTTATAATCATATTGCAACCAGGAGGTTGAATTAGGCGATTAATTACAAATAATGATGATTACCACTAATAAGCTAATCTATAAAGAAAAACGAAAGAAACCAATAACCGAGAAACAATACATGAATACACTGCAGTAAAATTGTGATTTGTTAAAAAAAACGAAAGATAAAAAAAACGAAATCGATATGATAAAAACAAACGAAACTTCTAAAACTATAGATCGGGAACACAGTTTAAGCTTTGAGGGCGTTGGACGTAATAAAACTAATACGGAATCTGTTCGTCTTGAAAACTGGCCTAAATTTCCCTGTGTTTCTTAGGTTCGACCTAGAGAGCAGGGAGAAGGCCGTGGAGCTTATTCTGTTTTCTCTGTACAACATCCTTAAATAGTTTGTCCACAAGTTCCTGGCGGCGGTCTGAAAGTTTATTTACGTTTGATTCAACCAAAGACTCATTGTACAAGCCGAAAGGGAAAATAATGCGCATAGCCCGTTTTTGTACTCGCTCAAGTTCATTGGAGAGGTACGCGGGAAGGCTGTCGGAAAGACAGGACATGTGTACTCCGTGACAGGGCGAATGCAAGTGAAGAAAAGCTGAACTAGCCCACGGGTACCAAGGCCAGAGCGTTTAAGCTGAGATAAACTATACAGGCGCTTCTGAGCTTTCTTAATAATGGAGTCAATGTGAGAGTTCCATTTCAAATCACTAGAGACATTGAGGCCTAGTATTTTGGCAGTGGCAACTAATTCAATAGGCTTGTCGTTAACTACAACGGGGTCGAAAGACGTGGTATTCTTAGTGCTAAAGTTTATGCGCAGTTCCTTGCATTTCGTCTCGTTTAGTTGAAAATTTCCGAGGAAGCGCGGGTTGACCAGGGTGTTGACGGCGGCCTGGATGTGAGTGTCTTGGTTCTTACTTATTGTCTCCGAGATGGTCGTATCGTCGACGTGTTTCCAGAGATCGTTGGCAGGAACATCCGTGAGCTCGTTTGGTTCTTACTTATTGTCTCCGAGATGGTCGTATCGTCGACGTGTTTCCAGAGATCGTTGGCAGGAACATCCGTGAGCTCGTTGATCATGACGATGAACAGCCATGGCCCCAAATTTTTGTGCCTTGGGGAACCCCCGCCGGTACAACACCCCATTCTGAGAAGCAGTCATGGCCAAGATTAACTTGCTGTTTGCGTGAAGTGAGGAAATCGATGATCCAAGAGATAACAGGGTCAGGGATGTCACATGAGCACAACTTCCAGACCAAAATCAGGTGATCAATGAGGTCGAAAGCTTTGTTAAATTCAAAGAGAAGCACCCTCACAGTGGCTCCATTACCGTCAGTGGCACTGTTCCAGGTGTGGATCATGCTAACTAGAGCTTCTGAGGTATTTCAACCGGGAACGGTTCCAAACTGCCTAGGATCGACCTTAGCAAGCACGGCAGGTTTGACGTAACGATCAACCACAAAGTCCTCAGTTAACTTGGAAAGGACAGGAGTAAGTGATATTGGTCTCAAGTGCTTGTTTACGTCGTCCTCAACGGTCTGCTTGGGAACAGGGACAATATCGGCTTCCTTCCAGGACTGGGTAGTCGAGCCTCCGAGTATGAACAGTTAAGGATATCGCTAACCAACTGGGCAGTATGTCTGCGTTCTCTTTCAAAAGGCACGCAGGTATGCCGTCCGGCCCTGAGGCTTTACCCGGATTTAGACGGGTAAGTTTCTTTAGAACCCTGAACTCAGTAACTATTGACGGATTGGTGTGTTGCACGTCACCTGATGCCTCCGGATGCAGTGGAGAAAAGGAGTTCATAGGGGCTAGGAACACGCTGTTAATGGTATTAGCAAAGGCCTTAAGACTAGTGTCAGGCCCTGAGTCAAAAAGTTTCAAGATTGAAGTCGGGTCAGTACGCTTAACTGATTGCATCCCGCCGAGCCTTTTAACTTCATTCCACCACCTACGAGGAGCGCAATCTCTCAGATGTTCAACTTTGGACTCGTAGTATTTAGGGCGACAGGACTTACGTAAGCGGTTAACACGATTCCGAGGGCGACGAAAACTTGCCTCTTCACCGCGAGCAAACCCTGTTTGACGATCGTGAGTTAGGGAATTTAAGTTGTTTGTTGATCCATGGTGGTTCATTCGCAATGACCGTCTTGGATTTAGAGCAAAGCAAGGTATCCATGCCCGTCTTGGTAATTGTTTCGAGCGTGTGCGTTTTCTCTTCGCATGACTCTTTGAGACTTACCAGGAGACCAAGGTTGACTTCCTCGAGATATGTTTGCATGACCATACGATTTGTAGCCCGCAGATCTCTTGATTTATGCAGGATCTTATTCTTCGGAAGGTTCTGCCTAGCTAAGGCTTATGCTGCTACTTTATCATGATCAGAGAGACCGAAAGGAGGCAACTTATTGGGCACATCGTAAAAGGTGTATAGTGTATAGTTCTCGAAGGGAATCTCTAGCAGCTCTGTCCTTTCCAATCTAAGAACCAACACTGCCGTAACGAGCTCTAACCTCGGAACTGATGTCGCTTTGGTAGGTGCAACCTTCACCTTCGCTGCAATAAATCGCACAGTCACTTCTCCATCTCCATATGTGTGCAGCACTTTACTTACAGCTACATATGCCTACATCAACGCGCTCAACAGTGTTTGAACACATGTGACAACAACATTTTTCTCAGCAATACAATAGCACCTTAGAACTTGGACTCCGGAAAGTTCACTTAACTGACTGAATCATTCTTGACCCATCTTCTTTAAGTCAATGGGAAACTCATCATCCCAATCTCATCATTCTAAGCTGGTCTCGAGCTTTTATAACATTTACTTCATCTTCCTTCTCCAAGAAGTTATAATGTCATCCATGTTCATCTGTGATAGCATTATGGCTACTACTAGCAGATAGTCATGTCTGATATCTTCTGTATGTTTTTGCTAAACGTACTGGGCAAGGTAAGGTAAGGCGCAGTAAACAAACATCAATCTCATATCAGTATGGCTTATTCCACCGTATCTGGCTGCTGAATGATAAAACTGTTCTCACTTTGGTAGCCTCTTTGCCTTCTCTCACTACAGCAAAATGAGGTAGACTACTAATTTGGCCCATCATAAATTTTTCCTGAACCACCTTCCGGATGTAACCCTTGACGTTATTGTTTTCATCACCTGGTAGTATTTTCCAGCAACGTTTGGCCTTCGCTAAAGTTGTTTCCAAGAGAGTAGAGTCGGTCTTAAGTGGTCGTTCTGATGCACTGCAGGGGCAGCTCATTGTCCTTCCATGGAATAGCCATCTCATAGCGCCCCTCAGCACATCGCGTTGACTCTGCCGCTTTGCGCGCACCAAGAACCTCTTTGGTTTTTTGTCAAGGGCTTGTTTCGATAAGTGATTCCACAACTTCGTCATCCCACATCTTCCGTATGAACCCACTGGCCCTCAAGGATCCATGGAATGAGTAGACGTGGTTGGCAACGGACACGCGTTTGCAACTTCCAAGATATGTCCAACAAATGTCCATCCGGCGGGTGTCAACCCCTACAGGCTCCTACGGCTTTCCTATGCCAAATTCAAGTGGGAAAAGGAGTTTCTCAAAATAATCACTTCCAACAAATAAATCAACTTATAAATCCATGTTCAACTTGCGTTATGAACTCAAAATTGCAAAGATGATTTAGCTTCCTTGCACTAGGGGGCAAATCATACAACTACAATTATTTCACAAAGTTTCGCGGTTATCCATAGAAACAAGTTCTTCTTAACGCTTCCATGCATACTCTATAAGCACACAGTAACAGTTTCTCCATCCGTCACAATCGACCCCGCTCCAAAAACAGCAAAACCCAGTGGTCTACTCTCAGCGTCCCAGCTCAATAAATCATAGATCTACTCTTTAAGGTAGGACGACCCAGAAGAACCAAGAAAGGCGCTTACTTTGATCGTTATCCCATTTTCTCCCTCCAATATAACGGGTGCCATTTTCAGGGCAACCTTTTCAGGGTTTCGAGATACACTCGCGGCTTCTTCAGGTACTCCACATATTCGGCGATTAGCTTTCCCCATTTGCTGACGTGTCTCCTGTAGTTGCTTGGGGGGTTAAAATGTCTAACTGCGATGGGTCTATGGCTGCATGAAGTTGTAGGTGATGTAGTCGCACCCACCCTTCTACTGGATACATTCCTTACCCCCTTACAATGAGCACCGTTCAACTCAATGTTCTCTTTTGAGGCACCGAAAGCACAAACCCAACTTCTTCGCCAATTACCATCGTTAATGCACATTTGATGTCTTTGCACACAAAACATTTCACTCTAGCTCGTGAATTTGCACGAATCTCGTTACGCGAATCCCTTTTTGTATGTTTCCTTGAACCACTCTAAATTGTTTGAATTTGATTTGGTTTTGTTTTGGCCAGGATTTGCTTTAGTACTGCCACAACCAATAGCCACCTCTTGGACTTGATTGTCTGTTTCCAGCCACTCATCAACATCCCACGGTAAGGACAAACAACCTTTGTCTGCAGCTCTGACTTTCGCCTACCCAACAGAGGAAAAAACTTACCGCCCCCTTTTATTGCTATAAACTAGAGCCAAAAAAACGGATGCTCTCACAGGAAAACGAATTCGAAGACATAAATTTCCCTCAAAATTATGTCTGATGTTGAAGACGTTACTCCAGCGAACACAGATTTTCCTAGCAGCGACGTTTAATTTGTTGCCTTTGCTTCCTAAACAACCTTCTATCTTGTCTCAATCACTCGAAGCTTCAGTACCAATCCAGTCTTCAGAATCCAGTGATATAGCGTCCGCGTTCTCTCTATTTGAGGATTATTTCGACAAGAAGCCGGGCGCCTTGAAGCGCGATATTCAAGACGAGTTGTGCAGTAATACCGATTCTGTAGCCAAAAAGCTCAAAGAAGAATCCAAGATCACGTTTCGATGTGAAGTTAATAAGAAACAGTTTCAATTCAACTCCGATCTTGCAGCGAAGGTGAAGTCAGCGTCAGTTGCTCTCGGGAAGAGAAAATTAGACCTTGTTAAAACTCACCTGGAAGAACTAGACTCTGACATCGAGAAGCGCAACAAACGTATCAGACTGACAGAAAAGTCCGCCGCCGGTTGGGATTTGGTGAAGGAGTATTTATCTGACGAGCTGGCTAGCGGATCAGAGGCCGAGCAGAGGGCCCTTCGTAAACGCAGCCAACGCCAACAGAAAGTGAAGCCATCCAAGCAAGGTTATCCACAACTCCAATCATCTATCGCAACCACCGCGTTTGCTGGCCAACATTCATCATCCTCCACACCTATTTCTCGTACTCTTGGAGCTTTCAGCAAACCAAGATCAAGTGATATTTGTTTCGCCTGCGGCCAGCAAGGTCATTGGAGGTCTCTGTGTCAAGTTCATCCTCAAGCCGGATCTTCAAGCTCCGGGCCGTCCTTTCCCAGTTCTTCTGGTCTTTTGGGCATTGGAGGGAAATAGGACCACAGAATTGAAAACTTGTTCTCCAAGGTTAGATATTAGCTTTACTCAATTTATTAGACATGTATCCTTCCTATTTGGAGTATTTCAGGGAAAGGGACTTTAGTTCATTAGTCGATTTCGATTATGATCGCAATCTATTTGAATTTGAACAGAATTCTGCATTGCCAGTACTTAAGGGTAGACTTAGGTCCTGTTGAAGTTATTGGCACACTATTGGTGCCAATAGTTTTGTTATCGATACCATTAAATTCGGTTATCGGATCCCATTCATTAGCACACCTTGTCAGGCGCGTTTTTCTAACAATCAGTCAGCTCTTAATAATGCGTCTTTCGTGGAGTCAGCTATCGCTAAATTAGTCCACACTCACGCCGTCGTTGAGGTGCCCTTTATTCCACATGTCGTTAATCCGCTCTCTGTCTCGATACAGTCTTCAGGCAACAAGAGGCTTATTCTGGACTTACGTCATGTCAATCATTTCATTTGGAAACAGAAGTTTAGGTGTGAAGATTGGAGAGGTTTATTATTACATGTTAATAAGGGCGATTTCCTTTTCAGTTTCGATCTCAAGTCTGGATATCACCACATCGATTTTTCTGATTACCGAACTTTTCTGGGTTTCTCCTGGTTTTTTCTGTTTTTTTTTTGTTTTGCATCACTTCCGTTCGGTCTTAGCTCAGCCCCATACGTCTTTACCTATTGTCTTAGACCACTCGTTAAGTTTTGGAGGTCTAACGACATCAAAAATTGTTGTGTTCCTCGACGATGGGTGCGGAAAAGGGGATTCACTGCCTTTATGGCCAAGGGAAATTCATTGTTTGTGCAATCATTCTTAAGCAGTGCGGGGTTTGTTGCCAACTCCGCCAAATCACTATGGAACCCCACTCAGGTGCTTGTTTGGTTGGGTCTAAACTGGGACTTAGTTACCGGTACCATTTCTATTACCGATAGACGTATTTCCAAATTTATCGCTCTGATTGACAAATTTCTTCTATCCGCGCCTTATGTTACGGCTCGGGATTGTGCCGTTATTGCAGGTCATGTTATGTCCATGTCCATGTAGCCAGTTTTGGGTAACCTGACTCGTCTCAAAACCCGTTTTCTTTACGAGGTCATAGAATCCCGCCATAGTTGGGATTCCCGTTTTAATATCGGGCTTCATAATGATTGCCTCTCTGAAATATTTTTCTGGAAAAATAATATCGTTAGTCTTAATAAGAGACCTATTTTGCCTTATTATCCTCCCCTTTTGTTTAACTATTCGGACGCTAGCAACGGGGCTTTTGTTGTGGGCACTAATGAGGTGTCCCATCGTATGTGGACTGCTGGTGAAGCAGCTAAGAGCTCTACCTGAAGAGAACTTAAGGCTACACAATTTGCCTTAAGTGCATTCAAAGCCTTGGTTCTGGGTAAGAGTGTACAGTAGCATTCTGACAGCCAAAGGGACCGTTCGTGCTGTGGAGATAGGGAGCCCTAGTGCAGGATTGCATTATATTGCGCTTGATATTTTCTATTTTTGTCGAACTTACAATATTACACTTATTCCCCAGTGGGTTCCCAGAGAACTTAATGCTTGTGCTGATGCGATTAGCCACATTGTAGACTTCGATGACTGGTATACAACCCCCGAGTTCTTCGCACACTTGGACCGCCTTTGGGGCCAACATACAGTCGACAGGTTTGCGAATGCTGCCAAAGCCCATCTTCCCAGATTTAATTCTAGGTTTCGCGTACCCGGCACTGAAGCTGTTGACGCATTTTCAATCTCGTGGAATGGAAAGAATAATTAGCTAGTCCCTCTCGTCCACTGCATTACTAGGGCGGTTCAGCATCTCCTTTATGCGGTACGGTTGGTACTTAAGTCCTCCCTTATTGGCCGTCTAATGTGTTTTGGCCTCTCTTGTTCGCAAATGCAATTCAATTCCAACCGTACGTCCGTGCGTACATTAATTTTCCCGACCCCGCAGGGATTTTTTCCCTCGGGCGTTACAAAGATTCACTCATTGGTTCAGACAGGTTTAACAGCACGGCCCTGGCAGTCAGAACTGGCGCTAAGGGGCCTTAGTTCTTTCACGCCGAGTGGCTTTATGTTGGCCCACGCGTTTTTCATTTCGCTCGTCAGTTCATTTGTTCTTGTTTCTCATGAAACTAGCTCGCCGAGTGGCTTGTTTACCTACGTTTTTGAGTTGGCCCATATGGCCTTAAATAGTTTTGCATCCGGTCAGCGGCATTATCAAGCGTCCATTTTTTATCCGTATCAGGACGTAATATGCTAGGCCGCTGAAACGAGCGGGGTCGAGCGAACTAGCTGTGATGCAAGGGTCTCGGTACTACCAAAGAGACAAAACAAGATGACAGACATTATGCTGGACCGTCATAGAGATTATCCAGCGAAAGTTAGCCATTATCCCGTGGCATTCATTTGCTGCAAGCAATAGCGAAGGAACAAGTTATTTTTTTCTCACGTTCGTTTTCTGTTTTGTTCAATTTTTCGCCTGCGAACAAATATCTGTATTCAATATAGTTCCACCTTCGTGACCTGTATCAAAATTTCGTGACTTGGTAAGAAAATGGCATCACAACTCAGATGATAACACTGACATCATTTTTAGACTAATATTATCGGTTCTCTGCTTCAGTTTGATATCAAGTTGTGTCGTTCATCATCTGCTATGGCATTTATTTTTTTGCTGCCCAGTTTCAAGGCCAGATGATCATGATTTTTTTTTTACTATTAAAGTTTGGATTTGTTGGTGCACATCACTATTCTTCTCTAAACACCTTATTGAGCTATCTCTAATGTTGAGCATTGGACAGATTGTGAAAACTAAAGTCTGGGTAAATTGAAAATATAATAAAATCATCATTATTTTTTATCTTGTACACTAATACGACAGTGCAATGAAGAATAAGTATGTGAAAAAAAATATAATTCACTGCCCTTGAAAAACTAACAAAGGGGTCGCACGAACACAAATAAGTAGCCCAGCAAATATTTTTGTTTGGTAATAACAGCTTTCTGTGATGAAATGGTCACTGAAAACTACCCATGCAAGACAGACTAAGAAGCTTAAAAGAAACTAAACATTCACTAGTCTTACATTGCAACCAGACATTGCCATATATATATCTTACAGATACAACATAAAACATTTATATAACATACAAATTCTAAAGTATATTGCAAACAAGAAAATTATACAGAATTATGCACAAATGAAATACAAATGGTCTGTAACAGTTATTTAACCATTGAAAAGCAAACTTTTTCGTGTGACCAGCAACCCTAGCACACTTGTATACTTCATGTCCAGTATTATTCAATTTCATTCTTGGTTAAGTTTATTACCTGCAGCCAGGCTTAATCAAACTTGATTCAAAAAATACTTTCCTGTTTCCTTGTCTACAATAGATAATATTAAGAGAGAGGATATAATGCTAGAAATATTATACAGTAGTACAATCAAAAGATAAGGCACCACCAGAAAATCGAGTTGGTCCCTACTATTCTTCAGTCATTTTCTTTTACTCTCTATAAGAGTTACACTTGTCCATTAATGGAGACATTTTGTGCCAGTCCCAATAGTTTCCATCTGAGAGCTGACTGTAGTTTGTGCAACACCAGACGTAAGCCTCTGACGATAAAAATACAATGTTACACAGTAGCTAGTCTTAATTTATTCTGCTTGCAATCAAATTAAAAACTCGAGCTTCATGTTCATCCTCATATTCACGGTATTATGAACTCGCTTATCTTTCAATGTGTGTTCTGGTAGTCTTTTCAGGCCGGGCAGTCACTGTTGTCCTGAAAAATCATAATAAGAAACACATTCTATGATTTAATTTTACAGTGGAATCTTTTTGGGGATTTGAAAGCATTCTGGTTCTGTGCAATACAAGCTTTAAATTTTATACCGCAGTGAAGCAGAATTTGTTGTTGTTTAATATATGTAGACTGTCACGCCAGATCGTTCGAATGCAATTTTCTAGTAGAACTTTAAAAATAGTCAGAATCTTCTTGGATCGCGGCTCTGTAACCAAAAAAACATTTATTTACCACCTTAGTGTATATTAAAAAAAGAAAAATCGCTAAATTAGGCAACTGAAATCTTTTATTTTACTAACAAGCTAAACGCCAACGTACAAAACAAAACCCTTGCTATCGCCATTAGGAAGTCGTCACTTCAGAAGTAAAACAGCCTTAAAGGTTCATAAAAGTTTCCTCTAAAAATTTGCATGCACAAACAAAATTTATAAAACCATTACATATTTTTTTTTGTAGCCGTTTATTATCATTTGGTTTTGACTGGCAAGATAAAACGCGACCTTCAACCTGTAATATTCGATAGGCCATATTGACACTACATAAACATAAAAGGCGAAAAAACACCTTAACTTATAATTATAAGACTAACTATAAAATATCCCCTTAATATTTTCTGTATATTGCATAGAAATACGCCAAATATCAAATCTAATTATAGATTGCAGCGATCTAAAGATATAAAGCAATAAATGCGACCTACCTTCACCCATACGGGGCCATTTTTCTTCCCCTGACAGCCGATCGAGAGCGGAAAGGCCAACTAGTTCTAGTCCTACTCCGCATCACAGCTGAACCAGAGAGTGCGTATGAGCGTTTCAACGCCCTAGCTTATTATAACCTGATCTGTATTGACTTCCAGTAGGTGTATGGAAGAATTTTGCCACGTATTTTTGTTCTTATCCTCGTAGAAGTTCTCAAAGATGCCTTGCAGCCAAATTTTCAACAGGTTGAAGACAGGTGACTCCGGGCACTGGTTCAAGATCTCCCCTCGGGTTGGGTTGTTATCACTAAAACTTTCAAGCATACATGTCCTTATTTATTAGTTCAACGATATTTTGTGGCTGCTTCTTTTTCAGCAGACAGCGAAGAGTTCATTTTTCGCCCTTTTGTTTTCCTTCGCGGTACCGGAGCTTACAAAATGCGCGGGTCTGTTCCTTTGTCTTATACTAGAGCGCGGGAAATAGTGCTTAGTGCTTTCGATTCTATCGGCCTTCCCAAGCAAGACTACAGTCTCCATAGCCTTAGAGCTGGAGGTGCCTCCGGTGCTGCTAATGCCCGAGTGCCTGACAGATTGTTTAAAAGACGCGGCCGTTGGAAATCAGACAAGGCAAAAGACGGCTACATTAACGGGATAATGTTCATTCATTGTTGTTGGTTTCGTAATCACTGGGTACTTAAATTTCCGTATTTCCCGTTCTTTTAGTTTGTACACGGCTCGTGTTGACACACCCCAGTTGAAGTTGCTTGTTACATGATATATGTTTTATATTCGTTTGAGCGGGATAGCGAATTAGAATATAAATGTATTTATCATGGGTTATGTAACCTTTTCTTTAGGGTGTCAAACAACATGGCTCAGACAATGCAAAAGGCGCAGAATTCACGAAGTTATGCGTTTTTCCGAGTTCAGCTAACTTTAAAAAAGTGTTCTTATAAAAAGACTGAATGTTCTAGTAAATGGAAATGTATTTATCATGGGTTGTCTGGGTTATGTAATTAGCGGTAGGCTATTTTTATTTGAGTTGTTTTCTTTTATATTCATTCGCGTCTTACGACCGTCCCTATGCCCTCAAAATTAAATACCCAGTGACCAGGGGTTTCTCTTAGACGTAGTTTTTTTTTTATACTGCTGTATAAAAGGTTTAGCACGTTTTGTATGTTTACTGAATCATTGTTATACGAGCATAGTTTAGATCATTTTGTAGGGTTGTTTTTCCTGCTGTAATTTTTTTGCATTCCCGAATTTTCATTCTGTTTGTTGTATTATTTCCATCCATTTTGTTGATGAAGGCATAATGAAGAGGGTCGCCTACGGCTCGTGTTGAAACCAAACCCCAATTGAGGCTGCTTGTTACATGATATATGTTTTATATTCGTTTGAGCGGGATAGCGAATTAGAATATAAATGTATTTATCATGGGTTATGTAACCTTTTCTTTAGGGTGTCAAACAACATGGCTCAGACAATGCAAAAGGCACAGAATTCACGAAGTTATGCGTTTTTCCGAGTTGAGCTAACTTTAAAAAAGTGTTCTTATAAAAAGACTGAATGTTCTAGTAAATGGAAATGTATTTATCATGGGTTCTCTGGGTTATGTAATTAGCTGTAGGCTATATATATTTGAGTTGTTTTCTTTTATATTCATTCGCGTCTTACGACCGTCTCTATGCCCTCAAAATTAAATACCCAGTGACCAGGGGTTTCTCTTGGACGTAGTTTTTTTTATACTGCTGTATAAAAGGTTTAGCACGTTTTGTATGTTTACTGAATCATTGTTATACGAGCATAGTTTAGATCATTTTGTAGGGTTGTTTTTCTTGCTGTAATTTTTTACATTCCCGAATTTTCATTCTGTTTGTTGTATTATTTCCATCCATTTTGTTGATGAAGGCATAATGAAGAGGGTCGCTTACGGCTCGTGTTGAAACCAAACCCCAGTTGAGGCTGCCTGTTACATGATATATGTTTTATATTCGTTTGAGCGGGGTAGCGAATTAGAATATAATTTATTTCACTGT